GGCACGTTGGCCGCGGCTCATCCATCCGCCCCCGCGGTGGCGATGCGGCTCCGCGCTGCCCGTCGCCTTCGTCTGGCACGTTTTCGTCGGAGGATCTCCGCGGTCCCCGGCGGCTCCGGCTTTCTTTGCCCCTTCGGGCGCCCTCATCCCATCCCCTCTCTCTACTTTCTCCGTCTCCTGTTTTTTTTCTCCGTTCTTTCCTCGCCTTCTAGCATTCCCCTCGCGTTTTCCCCTTTTCCACCCACTTGTCTTGCTTTTGTTTCAGTTATCGCTGTGTGGATTTAGCTTTCCTTCCCTTCCTTAGCGTGCTGAGAGAGAATGTGTTGCTTCTCCACAGACCCCTGTGGTCTCCGAAACACATCCCCTATCTCCATCTCCCAATTCTAGTTCATCTGTCTACAATCTGTCAATAGGAATTATTGTACGGTTGTGTGTTAACTACGCAGGTTGCTAATATAAAACAGTATTTTATGTGCTAAATACGTAAAAAAACCCTAATGCTATAGCTGTAACGTTCTGAATGCAGATGTTCTTTGAACATGTAGAGTGATGGAGAAAGATGTAGGTTTCTAGATCTGTGGCTGTAGACACAGGTGTGAGAAATGCATCCCAGGGGAGTCAGTGCGTCAATAACCTGACACGGTGGGAGAATGTGAAAACATGCGAGGGACTCAAGGGTCATCAGGGAATGTGACACCTTAGGGTGCGTTTTGTGCTTCGGCAGAGGTAGTGCAACGCGGAGCTCTGTGTATGCTGACATTGGCAGGGGCATTTGTTTGTACTGCTCCGGTGCCAAGGGGCCCAGTGGTGAGGCAAGGCCCCTTGTGCTCTGGATTTTCTCTCTCCTTTGTGAATTTACACTCTGAAACATCTCCCCACCTTTTGCAAATTATTTTAGATTTACAGGAGCTTTCTTGAAGCTGGTAGGAGTCTGTATCCTAAAAATATTCCCCAAATGTTTTTCTAATCTCCAGTAACTCATTTCCCGAGAAATCAGATCGGTGATTCCCAAGTTGCAGGTAGATGCAGCAAAGGATTTGTCTCTCTACCACCAGCTTGTTACCCCAGCAACAGGGCATATTTGGCATTTGTATGGTGTGGCACATGGACTAGAGCCGTCACAGAGTGGAATCTGGTGGGGGCAATGGAGGGGTGGGGTGAAACGTGGGCACTTGCACACAGGAAGGATTCCACCTGCATACTGAGCAGGATGGATGTTTCTCTGGATTTCCTACGCAATGCTTTATAATCTTAATCAATACGGTGAGGGAGAAATGCCAACCCACACTCTTCGCTGCTACGCCAGGCTGGGTCTGCCTGCTCTGCCCTGCTGGTGCTCTCCCACTCTGATCTGTCGCCCTGTCTGCTGGCCCACCACCCGGCTCCAGCAGCCTCCCCTGGCCCCGATTTACAGAAGGGCTTGGTTGTAAGGGATACTGTCTCTTCTGGGTCAACACATCACGCCATGCCAGTATGGTTTCAAAGGATACTGTGCTGCAGAGGATGAATTCACATATTGGAAGTAGTGCCCTTGAGGGAAAGGCTCTGTATCCTACTCCCCACCAGCCCTGAGCCACGCTGTGCTCGAAGTGTTGCTCGGTTGTAATAAATCTTGGTCTCCAGGGGGTGAGAGAGTGGGGGATTATCTGGGAATGGGGGTTGTAACTAGGCCATGTAATATAATCTCTGAGGCCCATTTGGCAGGGAGTGGGCTTGGGGGAGGGGTTTTTAATTTGTAATGATTTTTCTTCTCTTTCCCCTCCTCTCCCCTCCCCTTCCCTCCCCCCCACCCCTTTATTTCTCCCTTTCCCTGCCCCGGAGCCTGTGTGATAAAGATTAATTTGCTATTTCTGGGCCTGTGACATTTTTCAGAGCCTCCTGCTGGCTTCTGCCTCCATGCCAAGCCTGGCTGGGCTCCAGCCAACGGGATTAGCAAGGAGGGGCCAAGGGAGTATGGTGCTCACCATGGAGTGGGGAAGGAAGGAGCAAGGGACTCTCGGAGTAGGTTATTATACGCGTAGGACGACTGACTGAAAGTATACCTGGGTACATGCGTGTAGATCCTGAGCCTTAGTCCAGAGGATGCGAGGCATAATGGCTGCATGCAAGACTTGCCCCCTGGGGACACCCCAAGGGAAGGTGTATCCTGGATCCATTAATTATGGCTTCAGTGAGCTAAAGGATTTAGCATTTGGAATCTGTCTCCAGAATGAAGTTACTTCTGCCTCTTGATTTCATTTTTTTTAACTGCTCCAGCTTTCCTGGGCACCCAGATGCCTCTCCCCGTATTTCTAATAAGATAGTAATGAGAAGGCCAGAAGGAACACATTGTTTCTGATGAGGTCTCCCAAGAGCCATGTAGAGTAGGCTAAAGAAAGATAACTTCTTCCTCCCAGCCTATTTTAGACTTCTTTATTTTCAGAGAAGAAGGTGGGGAGGGGTGGTTGTTACCTGCCACTGGATGATATTCTGCTCTTTTCCTACTGAATCTGTCATTGGCGGCTAATACATTCCTGTGCTCCATCCCTTACCCCAAATCCACCTCAGCAAACAAGCACAAACCCTGGATTGAAGCTGAGTATCAGGGCATCGTCATGGAGAATGACAACACAGTCCTGCTCAACCCACCGCTATTTGCACTGGACAAAGATGCTCCACTGCGCTATGCAGGTAGGTGGGTAACAGCTCTGGGAAGGCTGGGAGGCAGGGAGAGACTTACGAAGAGGCAGAGACAGGGTGACGTTCATCCCTGTGCTGTATTCTAGCTCTCTCCAGAAAACAATCACCTCCAAACCTGTTCCGGAGCGGGTCCCCAGTGAAGTCTGAAGGCAATTTGGGCACAGCTTGATGTAGGATGCTGTGAGCTGTTTCCCTTAGGGAGAGAAATTGAGGGTGGAGCCAGCTACTTTTTGACGCAATTCTGCTATTTCCAAAGATCACATGCGCAGCTCTGTGTCTGTGAGCACTGGAGAAAGCTGGTAGGGCACACTTTGTTGGCAGTGCTACATCCCCTCCCAGTAAGCACAGATCCCTGAAACTACAGACGAGGCTTTATGAGGTGCTTGCTTAGGCCATGCCTGGAGCTTTCTCACGCATCCTCCCTCAGCTTTGGGAGAGGAAAAGTGTTCCCTGTGAGCTGAACTTTAGGGTTTAGGTGACCCTATCTGCAGTTCCCTGCAGTATTGTGCACATCCTGCATGTGTGGGTGGATGAGACATCATGGATCTTCATGCTTTGGCTGTCTATCTGCAAGATATGGCCTGTTTTGCCTCCCTGAGGGATGCAGAGGAGAAATAAGGTGCTCCCTCAGTACTGTGGCTGTGTAGCACTAATAAATCTAGTTTGAGCCTTGTAACCTGTAATCTTTCTTGACGCTGGTCAAGACTCCTAAACGTGGGAGTAGTCTCCAGTAGAGGGCAATCTACACCATTAATGACTGTAAGAGATGGCAGGAGGAACTCCTAGGGAACCAAAAATTGCTCCAAATGAGAGGTGATAATGAGGGAGAAAGGAAAGTGTAAGTTAGAAAGGAAGAAAATATGGCAGAGGGAAGCAAGGGGGCATAATGCGCTCTCCTCAGTCCTCTTCTTTCTCCCCTTCTTCTCTGCCTTTGTGGGTACCAGGTGAAATCTGTGGCTTCAGGATCCATGGGGCAGGGGTACCTTTTGAAGCCGTGATCCTGGACAAAGCTACAGGTGAGGGGCTGATCCGGGCCAAGGAACCAGTGGATTGTGAAGCACATAAGGAGCACACATTCACCATCCAGGCTTATGACTGTGGAGAGGGACCTGATGGAGCAAATACCAAGAAATCACACAAGTAAGTCCATGCAGTCATCGCTGCATGTTACAAAATGCAGTTTGTCACAGAAACGCGAATGAAAATTGCTGTGGGAATGCTTTCTTTAGCCAGAAGTGTTTTTCTCTAGCCTTGATACTGTAACTCAACATGTTAATAAGACCCAAAGAGAAATGTTCACTGACTGAGTCACACGAGTGAATACACTAGAAATGAGGGCTGCTTGACAGTTGTGTCTAAGGGAGGTATTTCATGTTGCTGCATACAGGCAGGAGGTCCGGATTACATTATCATTCCTTTTGCTCTTTCTCTGGGGTGGGAAACCATTGTCCAAGCTGTGTGCCAACATTGCTGCGTTGAAACCAAGGTCTCTTTCCTTGTCCTTGCTTTTGAAGGCTGGAAATCAGACTGGTGCACTTTAAGGGAGTGACTTACACTGAAATTTAGGTGGTGTATGGCTCCTAATCAGCCAATCAGTTCTTATTGATGTCTCTCTGCATCAGGGCCACAGTGCACGTTCGAGTAAATGATGTGAATGAGTTTGCTCCTGTCTTTGTGGAAAAGTTGTATCGTGTGGCAGTGACTGAGGGAAAGCTGTATGACCGCATCTTGCGTGTGGAGGCCATTGATGGAGACTGCTCGCCACAGTACAGCCAGATCTGCTACTATGAGATCCTGACCCCCAATATTCCCTTTCTGATTGACAATGACGGTAAGAATCCACACCTACCATGAGCACGTCACTCCCCCTTTCCTGCTTTGCTCCCTCTCTGCCAGTCCCATTTGCTGGCAGAGCTGTGCTGTATGAATTTTCTAGCACTGCTGATCTATCTGTCCTGGTGCAGAGACGCAGCAGCCATTTTGTGGGATGCTATAGCTTGTTACAGAGTGGCACTGGGGAGGGGGACTCAACCCCTTTTTGGTTGTTTTTGTAGTTGATCAAAAATAAGAGTGATTTCTAGAAGGAACATCTTTGAGGAGACTGTCTTTCCTTTCCCTTGATCTCTTTGTTTTCCTAACCAGGGAACATCGAGAACACGGAGAAGCTGCAGTACAGTGGAGATCGTGTCTACAAATTCACAGTGACAGCCTATGACTGTGGAAAGAAGCGGGCTTCTGATGATGCCGAAGTGGAAATCCAGGTGAAACCCACCTGCAAGCCCAGCTGGCAGGGTATGAAACCTCCAAACACATTTATGTCTTCCCTTTGCTTTTGCTGAACTACTACTCAGTCCTACTCATTGCCAATGTTTGTATATACACATATAAATTTGTATGCCCATATATATGGTTCAGTTCTGGCATCAAACCATCAGTCCCATCTAAGGGGATGCAGCAGACATCTAAGTCTGTTTCAAAGCCACTGAAAGGCAATTCCTTGGATTACTGTGAACTACTATGTATTTGATAAGGTTCATAAACTGTATTCAATGTCGATTGTTTTTGGGGCTGCTCATCTTGAGGATATTTGGCTTTTCCAGAGGTGTTGTATGCCTACAGGTTCACCTTAGTCAATTGAATTAAGGGGAAATCAACACAGCTAAGTATCTGCTCTGCCTGATAAGAGAGGTTGACAATCCAATGCGTGATGCTACACTGGTACTAGCTGTAGAAGATGAGAATTTGGAGACTCTGCTTCTAGGAGATCTTTCCTTGCACTGATGCCAGCTGCATAAAGTTGTCTTTTCAACATGGAAAGCGCCAAAAATCTCTGTTTCTGGGCTAGTCCATAGATGCCGCTTGTATGTGTGCCAAATGTTCTGGCCTTGCGTCCTTGGCAGGACCTAACACTTTTCTTTCACTCTTCTTCATTAGGCTGGAACAAGAGGATTGAGTACACCCCGGGTGCAGGCAGCCTCGCGCTCTTCCCCAGCATTCACCTGGAGACCTGCGATGAGCCCCTGTGGAACATCCAGGCCACGGTGGAGCTGCAGACAAACCATGTGGCCAAGGGCTGTGACCGGGATAACTACTCCGAGAAGTCACTACGCAAACTCTGTGGTGAGTTGATTCTTTCCTGGGCTGAGGGCAGCTGTGGTACAGCACCCTGCCCCTTCCCCTGCAGGGGTTCACAGTGGTGCCTCACACAGCAGAGATGCTGGGGGACACATCTGCTGTGGTCAGCGGGGTTGGGAGGACACCTAGCTCACATGCTGTGTTGAGGGACAGTGGGCACCCTGCCCATATTTACAACGGGCCTCCCATGCTTTCCTTGCCAGGAAGCCAGAGGTTTCTGTGCGTTGCCCCAGTACGCAGAGTCTGTGGGACTTCCCTCAGCACAGATGGAAAAGTCACCATCCTTCTCCAGATAGGAGAAAGCCTATAGGCAACTCCTTCTCTCCCTGTGCTCTGGGACGTTACAACGAGCCCTCTAGCACACTCTTCATCTGTTCCCCAGTTCTCAGGCTCCTTATTCTCCCGTGTTGACATTTCTGACTCCTTCCCTTCTCGGTAGGTGCTGCCTCAGGAGAGATTGACCTGCTGCCGGTGCCTAGCCCCACGGCGAACTGGACCGCGCGGCTCTCGGTGCACTACAGCCAGGACAGCAGCCTCATCTACTGGTTCAATGGCAGCCAGGCTGCCCAGGTGCCTGTGGTGAATGGGCTGCATGCCCATGACGGGCTGAGCGACCACTTCACCCTGTCCGTATGGATGAAGCACGCCGTGGTGCCTGGCAGAGGCAGGCGGGAAGAGGAGACGGTGATCTGCAGTACAGTGCAGAGCGGTGAGACACTTTTCCTGGGGTGGTGACCCCAGTTGTGCCCACTGCCTCTAACTTGTTAGAAGGGATTGTCCCTGCAGAGGGAAATCTCTTGTGTTCCAGAGCGGGACCTGGGCAGGGGTCCCTCCTTAGGAACACAGCTTCTTCAGGTGTCACTTTTTCCAGGAGCAGTCAAGCCCGCTGTGAGCATGTGGTGCCGAGTGCCGGTTGTGCAGGCTAGCATGTGCTTCTGGGCTCTGGCTAGTGAGACTGCTCTGAGGTGTGATACGTAACTCCCTGTGCTTGTCCCTGGCAGAGGATGGCTACTCGCATTACTCTCTGGCTGTGCACGGCTGCCGGATTGCTTTCCTCTACTGGCCATTGCTGGAAAGTGCAAGGCCTGTGAAATTCCTCTGGAAGCTTGAGCAGGTGAGGAGGCGTTTGCTTCTTCCCCATGTCCTTTCTCCTTCTGCCCTTTGCTGATCCCTTCCTCTGCTGTCTGCCGTAGGTCTGCGATGATGAATGGCACCATTATGCCCTCAACCTGGAGTTCCCCACTGTCACGCTCTTCGTGGATGGCGTCTCTTATGACCCTGCCCTCATCCACGACAATGGCCTCATTCACCCACCACGGCAGGAACCCTCACTCATGATTGGAGCCTGCTGGACTGGTGAGTGCCCACTCCCTGAACCATGCTCGTCCCATATGGGAAACAAGGGAGTGGAGGGAGAGCCAGAAGAGGTGAAAGAAACACCACCCAATACTAAATGATGCAAACCACATTGCAGCCATCTTGCCTCCTTGGCACCAAAGCCAGTGTGGCTCCTTCCTTCCTTACGGACCAAGCCAGCAGGCCACGGTAATAATAGCTGAGGGACAAGTGACATTGGCAGCTTCATGGACAACAGCAGTAGAATATGTGATGGATAACCAGCTTTCAGGCAGAGGAGATTTGAAACTCTGTACCTCATTCAGGCGTTGGCGTTTCTATCAAAGTTTTTCACCAGAGGGCAGGCAGTACTATTTGTGCTGCTGGTTGTATTGATGGGGATTTCTGTGTCTTGAGGGTCTATATGAAGAAGTCACAAATCATTCTGTAGAGAAATTGGATTGGAGGACAAAGATCAGGTTAGGAATATAGTTAAGCCACTACCAGATTAAAACCCATTCTGTGGAGACGTAAGGCTGCATTTCCCAGGTCTTTCAGTTCTCCTGCAAGACTGAAGCAAGACAGAACTAAAGGAATTTGCCTGCTGCTTGCTTTCACTCCACCAGAAATTTCTAGCAAGATCAAATCTTTAGTACTGCTTCTCCCACATGAGGGATCTTCCCACAGCTCTGTGCTCTCAATTGGCCTTCTGCAACGAACAAATATTAATCAGCTTGGGACACCCTCCTGGAACCATCTGAGTTTCAAAAGGATGTTGAGAACATGGCTTGTTGCGAACATGGCTAGGACCATGTTCCATAAATGGGAATCAATTAATTCCCAAAATAGGTATCATTGGGAAAGGAGAAAAAAAAACCTATACTTTCTCCCTTGTATCAGTTACTCATCCTACAGTCTCACCATCCCCTTCATGAGAGGGACTCTGCCCTCTTTCATCTGTGATGTGCTGTCTCTAGGGTTGAAGGGTGCACTGCTTGGCCCATGACTCCAGAGCTGTTCTTTTGGACTGGCCAGTACAGGCACTTGTATAGATACTTGCCTGACCCTGTAACTACCCTTTTCCAATGCCTTATTGCTTGTGTGAATGTTCTCCTTTTGCAGAGGAGAAAAACAAAGAGAAAATCAAAGGAAACGAGAACTCCACTGATACTGTACAAGGTAGGGAAAAGGAAGAAGATAGTTCTCTTCCCCTCTTCACCGTGCATGACTATCACTTCTTGCATGGTGCCTTCATCATACAGCTCCCCCAGTCCTGTCCTGCCACCTCCCACCATCCTGGGAGGAAAACCCTTATGTGGCAGATTGGTCCTTGATATCTTGATATCTATGGAGCATGAAAAGGCTGATAGGAGGACTACAGCCTGCTTTGAGAGATGGAGTATGCTTTTCATGTGGAGAAAGAGTCCTTATGCCTGATCGTTAAAGTTGGTCTCTGAAGAACACAATAGCCATTAGAGACATCAGGAGATGTCACCTCATCCCTAACTATCTATGGAACGTACAGTTTTTTTTAAAAGCCCTCACAGGAAGCAGAGTGAGAAGGGGACAAGAAATTGTTTCCGTCTGGCATTCAGCGGTTTGGCAGAAACTTCTCTATGCTACCCACCATTCACTGCCCTAGTCTTTCTGTTGGTCTGTTTTTCTCACTTTCCCCCATCTGGAATTCAAAAAATTGTCATCTCCTTACTTCAGCATCCCCTGTCGTCTTGTTGTCTTTGCTTTTCTATGTCCTGTGCACCCCTCTGTCTCGCTCTATCTTCCTTAACATCTGTATGTCCCTCACACTGTTGCTTTTGTCGTCTTTGCTTTTCCATGCCCCATGCACCCCACTGTCTCTCTCTACCTCCCTCAACATCTGTATGTCCCTCACACTGTTGCTTTTGTTGTCTTTGCTCTCTTCCTTGCCATGTCTCTCACACCCTCCACCTCCCATGTTTCCCTCAGGAGATCCTCTGTCGATACACCACTACTTCCATGGTTACTTGGCTGGCTTCACTGTGCGCCCTGGTAGCTTGGAAAGCCGGGAGGTTATTGAATGCCTGTATGCCTGCCGTGAGGGGCTTGATTACAGTGACTTCGACAGTCTGGGCAAAGGGATGAAGGTATGCCCATCTGCCCAGCTTGCATGGGTCTCCTCCACTCTCCTCCCCAGCCTTGCTTCCCAGGACTTTGCCTGCTCTCCCACCTTTCTCCTTTGTGTCTCTCTTAGCCTGGACTCTTGGCATTTGCCAAGGAACCCCGAGTATTTTCTTCTCTTCCACCTGTAGGTTCACGTGAACCCCTCTCAGTCCCTGCTCACCTTGGAGGGTGATGATGTGGAAACCTTCAACCATGCAATCCAGCATGTGGCTTACATGAATTCCCTGCGCTTTGCTACCCCTGGAGTCCGGCCACTCAGGCTCACCACTACTGTCAAGTGAGTGGACAAAGCAGCACCTCCAGCTAAGTTCAGCAAGAGGACTACCTCTCTTTTGACTAAAATCACACTCCCTCACCTTGTATTTTAATTCTAATTGATGGTCTCGAAATGGGTAGGAGTCTTCCTGAAAATAAATATTAAAGTATCCAATATCCAAATGAATACTATAATACTGGGGTCTGTGCAGGTAGCAGAACTTCTGCCTTCACTCATGGTGTTCTAGGCATGTGGGCTGGTTTTAATTTTCTCTGTGGTGTGTGGATGTGACCAAGTCACCGGAAACCCAGTGATGTCATTCCTACCACATCTCTCTGTCTTGCACAGTAGGCTTTAGGAAGACTACCAGAAAAAGGATATTCCCTTCACTGCCAGTAATGGGCAGGAGGTGTTCTTTTACAATGTTGCTGGTGGAAGCTTGGGCCAACTGATGCTTTCTACTTCTCTTCTTCAGGTGTTTCAGTGAAGAGTCCTGTGTCTCCATTCCTGACGTGGAAGGTTATGTTGTGGTGCTGCAGCCCGATGCCCCCCAGATCCTGTTAAGTGGCAGTGCCCACTTTGCTCATCCTGCATCAGACTTTGAGGGTCCTGATGGGGTCCCCCTGTTCCCCAACCTCCAGATCACCTGCTCTATTTCTCACCAGGTGGAGGCCAAGAAGGATGAGAATTGGCATGGTACTGGTGAGTAGAGTACAGGGTGAGGTATAAGAGACAAACTGGAAAGACCTGCAAGTATTGCTGTCCTGCAGAGGAAGTAGAGTCCCTCATTACACCCAAAGTAGGAGAGAGTTTACAAATACAGAAGCAAGGCACATTGTCTGTCAATATGTAGGCTAATCGGTTCTTAGCCCTTTCTGCCCCTCCCTGTACTTTTTCTATCCACCCAGTTCCTTTGCCTCACTCTCTCCTCCTTTCCCAGGCTGCTCATTCTTAATCCCTTTTACATTTTACCTACATTTCCCTTTATTGAATCCAGCACTGGATGGATATCCTGCCTGCACTTAGTCTCCTCCTGCTTCCTTCTCCCCTGCTTTCCTTATTTCTCGCCCCCTCCCATCTCTTCCTGCATCACTTATTCCTGTGAATTCCCCAGTCAGTTTCCTCACACCCTATAATACCTCGTCCCTCAATTTCTCTCCATCATCCTCAGATTACTTCTCTGCACTCTGTGCTCCACATGTACTTTCACTTCTTTCGTATCTTTTCTGGTAATGGGATTTTTTGCTTATCGTTTTCTGTTTAGCAGCTTTGCCTTTCCTCATACAATGATGAGTTTCTTGACTTAGAGCAGGTTGGTCTTAGCCCTGCTGAAAGCAGTTAGTCACTGAATGTGGTTGCCATTTTAAAGAAGATAAGATCTCAACCATCATAACCAGCAGTTGAGACAGGGGAAGGCTTTCAAAAGCACTCATGGTCTGGGAATGTGTGATAGAGTTGTTCCTCATTTGCACATTGTCATTGTCAACAGAGTCCTTACAGCCAAGATGTGTTATCATGAACCAGTCTGATAATAGTATGTTGTTCCAAAATAAAGTGACTTTATTATGTGCATAAATAATGTCATTAGAACCAGGGGGACTCCTCCAACAAGTAATCAGGCTGACAGTGATTTTACTCAAGGTCAGTACTAGCCAGAGAAAGAGAAGTCATTATGTATGATGTGAGCACTTTTAAGTAAGTAAGTGGCTACCACTCCGAGTAACTCCTGCCTTCACTGATGGCTGGCTGGCTTTCTGGCCGTGTCTTCTTTCCATTTGCATCTCAGTGACAGACACACGAATGTCAGATGAGATTGTGCACAACCTGGATGGCTGCGAGATCTCATTGGTAGGAGATGACTTGGACCCAGAGAGGGAGTATCTGCTCCTGGATGGGGCACTGCTGCAGCAGCGGGGCCTGGAGCTTGTTAACACCTCTGCCTACCTGACCATCACAGGTATGTCCTCTCCTTTGCCACAGCTGTCTCATTACTCTTACTGCCTGTCAGGCATCACTGGGAGAAGCACTTAACCCGATGTTAGAGATGTGTTGGTGTACTTTGTGAGACTCTGAGATGTAACCATTTGTTGAACTCCTGCCTTTTGGAAGTCCCAGGCCATCTCCTTGGGGAGGTGGCTCCTCCTCCAGCACACAGCATGGTGTCTGAGCTCTGAGCCAGGCTTCTACCACTCCTCCTGACTTACTCCCATTGCCCTTGGGGTTTGGTGTTCTCAGATGCCAGCAGCATTTTGCATGACATGACTGAGGGACAGCACATTGCACAGGTTGTGGACTGGTACAACACTATTGTACTCTCCAGAACTTAACAGGGCTGTTGTTCTTTATTCTTCCACGTTTTAGCAATGCAAGCAGGGATTTCATCGGGTCCTTTGCAGCCAGCTCCAGCTCTGCTCCCTTCCCAAAATTAATCAACCCAGCATTGCCTTGGATTCTTCTATAGCTCCTAGTTGCTACAGTGTTATGATGCAAGATGACTTTGAAGCAGGAGCTTCCTCACTCCACACCAATTCTCTCTTCTTGTCGCAGGTGTGGAAAGCATTGCAGTTTATGAGGAAATACTACGCCAGGTCTCATACCATATCAACCATGGCGCTGCCCTTTATGAAAGGAAGTTTCACCTGTCCTGCACTGAAATGAATGGACGCTACTCCAGCAATGAATTTACTGTTGAGGTACAAGATCAATACACGCACATATAGGTGCTTGTGCATGCCTGGGGAGGACATGGTGGATGGGAACGCACACAATGTAGAATGTATTGCGATGAACACAGGGCTGAGTCTCTCTCACTCTGGTCTTTCTGTAGGTGAATGTCCTCCACAACATGAACCGAGCTGCTCATCCTAACCATATTCTGAGTTCCCAGCAGTTCATGCACCGAGGCCATCATTTACCCCCAGAGCTATCTGGGCACAGTTTGGCAAGCACCCATAACAACCCAAGTATGTAACACTGTCTTTTGGATTTATTCCTTTAGGTCAGGATGCTGATTTTCTGATATCCTAGTAGAACCGATGGCAGAGGATTCCTTTCAGGCTTCCTATAGCCATGGTATCGAGCTCTTATTATACTGTCCTGTCCCACTCTTCATTAGCAAATGGACTGCAGTCTGCGTCAAACTGTGTTTTAGAGCTTGGTGCAACAATCCTCCTCTTTCAGTGTGTTGTTTTCTTGATGTAGAAGCAGTCTAAAATCTACACCTGAGAAGGTCTAAAAAGAACAACCGTATGCTGGTATGATTTCATTCGTGCACCTTGCAAAGGTGCTATGCAGGCTTGGGTAATGTAATTTCAGAAAGAAGCTTCAACAGCAGGAGAGAAACAAGAGAATCAAGACTGCCACTGCTCTAAAAAAAAGAGGTGGGACTAGGTGGCGATCAGCAAGGCAGAAAAATATATGAGACAGCACCACACAGACAAGAGGAGGATTCTTGCCCCAAAACAGAGGAGAGAAAGAAGCTTGAAAGCTAGATTAGAGATTAAATTTGTTGGTTTGCCCTGGCAGCTCTGTGCCACAAGCATGACTGCAGACTAACTGGCTGCTCCTCCTAGGCTGTGAAAGCTCTAGGACTGTTACAGAGGACCCTGCATTGGTTTTGGCCCCCTGTTGTAGAGAACATGGAAAGCACCTTTGGTGTTAGCTTTTGCTGCAGCTTCCTGCAGCAGCTGATCCCATGCTGGTCCAGTCCTGCAGCCGGCACTGAGCCACTGCAGGGACAGCCTACGTACGTGCTGGGAGGGCACCAAACCCCAGCCTTTGCCACTCCCTTCCCCAGCTCTGCCCGATCACAGCAGAAAAGGAAAGTTGTCCCTGCTGTACAGAACCACTCAGAACAAATCCACAGAGGGCCTGGATAGATTTTGCAGGGAAGGGGGTTATCTAGGGGGTCAAGGCTCAGCTTACAGGCCTAGAACAAAAGGGTGTGAGTTGGGCTAAGGGTCTTAGATGAATTTCAAGTCTTCTCCTGTGGAGAAGCTGGGCTTTGACTCTGGCACTAATTAGAAGGCCATCATAGCCCTCACCTCTGCCCCATGTGCAAAGCAGACTTCTTTTGGCTTCCTTCTTTCTCTACTGCTTGCACAGGAATCAAACCCTCTGAAAAGCATCCTTGTGCCCTTAGAGGCTCTCCCCAGCACACATTTCTCCCTCCCAATGAGAGGATACAAATAGCTGCAACATATTCCAGTGACTTCTGTAAATGAAGATGTGCAATCTACAGGCTGGGCCAACATCAGAGGATGCCTGGACCTAGGCATCCTGGCAAACTGTGCAGGCCTCAAGCAAAGATACAGCAGCTGAAGGCAGGAACTGCCTGTGCCTAGGGGAGCAGAAAAGTCAGGACACGTTCCTGCCTAGACCAAAAACCCAAGCGCTGCCCAGGAACCCCAGTTCCTGCAGGTCAGGTTGGAAATGCATGTTTCTGTGACAGACTCTAACCACGCCTACTCATTTCTCCATAGTGGTCCCCAGTGCTGCCACTGTCATCATTGTGGTGTGTGTGGGCTTCCTGGCACTCATGGTGATCCTTGGCATCCTGCGCATCCACTCCCTGCACCGGCGGGGAGCAGGGCAAGAGGTCCCTGCGGCTGCTGAAGGAGGGCACACAAGCACCGGAGGCAAAGAGAGTGACATGTTCTGGGACGACTCGGCCCTCACCATCATAGTCAACCCCATGGAGGTGAGGAGCAGCCACAGTGGCTGGGGCTGGGCGGGCAGCTGGGTTGCCAGATCCTTCCCCTTACCCCATGTCTCGCCTCCCCAGTCCTACCAGAGCTGCCAGGAGAGGGCAGCAGAAAGTGGCAAGGGCAGAGCTAGTGAGGGCCTGGAGGATGAAGATGACAGCACTGATTCAGAGACACCCAACTCCCCGGACAGCAATGACGTGGATGACCGACACATCATTGGCAAAAGCGATGGCTCTCACCGCTACTAGGAGCTTTAAAACACCAGTGCAATGGATCCCCCCAAAACACGTGGCTGGAAGCAGGAGGTGTCTTACTTTTAACTTCTTCCTTCTGCCACTGTGTACACATGCTCTCCTCCCTCATTTGTCATTTCTGCCTCCCATGTTCCTTCATCTTCTGCCATTCTCATTGTGGACATTCCCCACATTATTGACCCCCCAGCTGGCTCTCTAGAAACATGCATTAGGGCACTTTCACATGACAGTGGCACAGTTCAAACTATGATGAGGAAGGAGGGGCTTGGAAAGAACAGAAATTTGGAAAGAGGAGCCAGCCATAGGGCTCAGAGTGGGGTCTCTCACACCCCCCCCCCCAGATATTATATATATATATTGTATATTTTTTCAATGTTGTCGTTTGAGGTTTATTCTCGTTTCATGCAAAAAAAACCACTGCAGCTTGTGTCGCTTTGTAAAATTGTCGATACTCCTAAACTAAATGAATGAAGGTAAGAAGGATGAGGGAACAAAGTGGATTTTAAAATAAATGGATTTCAAGTAAAATGTTCAGGGCTTCTGCAGTTTTTCACTACAAACAGGTGAAGAAACAGTCAGTGTAGTCTCTAATGTGAGACTGGAGATTGTCCAGAGCATGTATGTACTGAGATTACTGCCTTATCTCAGGGAGGGGTTATATTTTTTAGTGTATGTGTTGGAACAGGAAAACCACATCACCCTTGACCCTACCCCCTGCCTTTTTGAGAGTCAAAATACTCTTTGTAAACAACGTAGCCCTCCCCAGGACACAGGGCTAGGAATCCACAGAGGAACAGAAGGCATCCCAGTTTGTCACAGACAAGTGTAACACATGCAGCAAACTGAATTCTTGATTACAGGAAAAAAATAAGGCTCTTTCCTTAACTTAGTGGATCACCAATAGAAACAGGCCAAATCCTCAGCTTCATCCATCTTTTCACCTGATCCACTTTCTTTACCAGCATAAAAGAGTATTTTTCACACCAGGAGTTCCAGCTTGTAGCAAAACAGCCCCAGTACTTCTAAGAGAAGGAGGTGTCCTCCTCTTTCTTTTGGGAATGGAAGGGATGGAAACACAACAGATACTGGCAAAGCATGATTTATGAGCTCAGTAGTATGAGTTGTTAGGATAGTGCTTCATATCATGTTTTTCTTCTTCCCTTGATCTACTTGGTCTGATTATTCAGACCCTGCAAGACGAAAAGAGGCAGGCTGCTGCCTGACATATCTCAGGGCAATGGCTGTAACATGTTAAGGACCCAAAGGACGATTCTGCAATAGGACATTTGCTGGCAGCCAAGGTTGAGAAATCCTCCTTAGGGGCAGGAAGGTAGCACAGTAGATGAGAGTGGAAGAGCCCCTCTGAGGGCATGAAAGGTGTCAGCACAAGATCCCTGCTTGCTGCAGTTCTCTCAGATGCCTCAGCTCTAGCCTGTTGTCATGTCCAACTGTGCCCACATATGGTTGTTACTGGGCCCAAAAGAAGTGAACATACTGAGACTGTCTAAGATACTCTTATGCTTTCTCCTTTGTCTCCTTCCCAGTATGTTCCATGCCCTTGTTTCATACAGGGAGCTTACAGCAGGCACTGTCAAACCAGTGCCCTGACATCTTGAAGCACTGGAATAATTCAAGTCTCCAGAAAGAAGAAAGGCTACATTGTACACATTGGAGCCCAAAACTTTGCACAAAATAGTCTTATGTCCTGAGAATGCTATGGCTAACCCAGTTCTGATATGTGATGAAAAGCACCACCTCTTGGAGCATGGAAAAAGACCAAGTCTCAGGACCATGAGGTCCCTGTATCTCCACAGCAGCCTGAGCCAGGCGCTACAGTGTGCTTACAAGGTGGAAGAGGCCAAATGTACGATGAGTTCATAGGTAGCCATCATGATAGCTGTGTTTGGGATCTGGCGGATCAAGTGAGCCAAGAGCCCTCGGTATAAAGCCAAGGGTCCCTCTTCATGCACCACAAGCTGCAGAGTCTGTATAAAGGAACGGTATCGTGACCCTTCTTCTCGCAACCGTGTCCGAATGACCTCTGGAGAGACAAAAAGGGAAGTGATATTAGCAGATTGATCCTACAGGCATGGTGTCTCCCACTGAGGGGAACAGAAGCAAGGAGCGTGGACCCACTCACCATGTGGATATGCAATGCATGAAGCACATGTTTTGGAGACAGCAGCAGCTCCCATTAGTCCAAAGAAATCATGGCTGTTTGGTGAAAGTGTGAGTGGTGGGGAAAGGGAATGATGGCTGTTTCTCAGCTGCTGTTTCAGTGCTTCATAGATGACAAAGTGTATGATGGTCTCTGACACTCCAGCATAGGAGGCAGTGATACCACGGTAAAATCCACGAAGGCCTTCAGTGCGGTACACATGCATGGCACATTGGAGAGCACTGCTGGCCATCTCCCCCTTCACCCTGTTAAGAGGAGGGAGGTTTAGACGGCATACTACTCCACTGACCTAAAATGCTGTTGTGAAATGTGAAATGTGAAAATGACTCTTCCCCAGCACGCCTTGAAGACCTATGTTCTGATGGCAAGTCACAGACCCCTACCCAACCCCACCCCCAAACCAGTCCTGATTTGACATGGAGTGGCTCTGCATTGCTAGCATGCCTCACCTGGCTTCCAGCTGCATCCTGGTTTTCACTAACCAGATAGGGTTGGTGAGTGTGGCAGACGTAATGCCTGGAGAACAGAAGAAGACGACAGCCATGAGCACCAGGATCATGCTGACAGTTTGTGAGGAGGCTCTCTGAATTCTGCTTGGCAAGCTGCAGGCATTTGCAGTTTGAGAATGACCTTGAGCTCCCGTGGGAGAAAAGACATTTAGAGCACACTATCTGATTCTCCTCCTCCCCCATTCCAGCCTTTGTCTGATGGTAATTAGCTCCCCTGCCTCCAACATAACCCTACTACAAGCGCTGATGTTACAAAGAGGCAGGAAACAATGGGCTAAACTTGCAAGAGTGGAAGATTTTGTTAGAAAATTGGGATATATCAAGAGAAGTGATTCTGTGAGTGGTCTAAATTACACACTGCCTTCTCCCTCTCACAGCTGAATGGAGCTCTTTTCCTGATAGCAGCTGAAGGGTAAAGACTAGATCCATGACTTGAAGAGATGAGCCTAAGAAGGACGAAGAGTGAGAAAACGTTTTGGTTACTCAAAGAACTCACTGCTCCAGCTGTGGAGGGAGAAAACTTCAAAAGAGAGAGCAGAAGTGATGGAAGCAGCAATGGGGAAGGAATGAAACCCATTTATACTTACAGACAGAAGGACATGTTGGCTCTGATTTGAGACAGAAGAGGCTCACCTGCACAGGCTGCTGATAGCATGTGTACTTTCTTGGACTCCGGTACAAGGACAGCATTGAGCCTCTCCTTAACACCAGAATAGGCAGCAAAATATATAGCCCTGTTTGGAAAGAAATACAGAAGAGGTTACAGCTCACCTATGAGGAGCAGAGACAGCACTGCTGTGGGGTCTCACTCCAACTTTTCTCACTCCCAGCACAAGTTTGTCTAATGTGACATCAGATACCATTTACACTAGGCCCACAGCAACTATGATCAGAAGGTCCAGAAAATGTCTGTGTGAAGGGGTTCTGTGGCACAATGAGCACAAGGCCCAGACTGCTTTCAGAATGTGGAACAATAGCTGTCACGGAGGTCCTTTAAAAAGTGTACAGCATGAGCTATCCTCAGGGAGCAGTACTCACCGGGAAGGAGCAACCCCAACAAGGTTTGGACCCAGACCTCGGAACAGGGATCGCATGCCTTCCTTCTCAAGGATGGCCCTACAGAAGGAAATGAACAGAGAAATCAGCACAATAACTAAGCTGGGAGCTCTCCTGTTCTTCCTCCTTCTTAGTTCTTCCGTACTTCTTGTAGCATCCTCTCCTCACCTCCGGTGTTACCCTTTTTCTGCCCTACTCTCACTCTCTCACCAACCATTTCTCCTCTCTCCTTCAGTCATTTCTTCCTATTCTTGCTGACACCATCACTCTGGGTCTGATCAAACCACTAGCTGAGAAATTTCTCACAGTCTCAAAAGTTGCCTTGCAGACTCAGAGTTCAAAGCACAGATCAACTGTGAGAAGTAGATGTACCTGTGCTCTGATGAAACTTCCTACCGCACTCGTGGTTTCCAGAGCCTCAGCTCAAATGCTACTTCCATCTCTTTCTCTCTCTCTCTCTCTCCCCCCATGCCCTGTCTCTCCATCTGATGACCAAACCTTCACCTCCCTGGTGCTAACGTGCATGCTGCCCTACCCTACTCACCTCAGCAACTTGAGCACTCCAGGAGATGGTGGGGTGGGGTTCATCAGCCTCACGCTCATCCCCGGCAGCTGTAACTCTGAGAGGCACAGAGGCCGCAGTGTCAGTTGGGATGACTGTAGACGTGTCTTCACCACTTCCAGGGGACAGGTCAGGATGGCTCCAGCTGTGCCACCACATCTAGGACATAACAAGGGCGTAACAGCACATGTAAGAATGACCCCTGCGCAGAACGGGGCAGTAATTCTGACCCTGCTCGTCCACAACCTCTCCCCTCTAGGAGAGGAGGTTAGGTCCCCCAGCCTGCGTCATACATGACCTCCTGCTCTAACATTGATTAATGTAATAACGGCTTAGCTTGGGACATCTCCTGGCAGTCTCATTCTGAAACCTCACTCAGTATTTGAGACAAACAGTCCCAAGTCCATAGGGACTCAGCAGTCCCTCAGCTCAAAGCTGCTGATCTTTGCATTCAGAATTTCCCAGAGCAAACATTGCTACTGCCCACCCTGGCTGCAATGCCTTCTGCTGAGATCACCAGGCACCATGCCTCACACCTCCCCACAGCAGCATTGGCTCAGACAGGGGCAGCACAAAACTCTCCCACCCCTCAGCCTGCCTGTGTCCCAGGCTGTTGTCCCTGTCAACCCATAACCCATTCAACCCCACATTTGCAAGGCCCTGTAAGCAGGATCTGTATTTTCTGCCAACAGCCAGGCTCACCCCCAGCCTGACTTGCTTAATGAAAGAGGACCTGACCTTCAACAGACAGAAGCTATTTTTGGAACTCAAGAACCATCACCATCAGTCTAGTCACACCTCAGTAATGCTGAAAGGACGTGTATCCCCTTTTTCCCTTTCTACCACCCAGGGACAAGTCAGAACCAGAGAACTGACATGTTTGGTTCTCAGCTTCTGCCCCTTCAGATCCTTTGACTGACAACTCTGTTCTTCTAGAGGATGGTCAGTACCTGAAAGACTTGAGATGAATTTGCATGGAATTTGCAAGAGGCTTTGACAAACAGACAGATGTTCATATCTGCTACAGCCAAACTCGCTTTGTTTCACAAGAGATGGAAGCTTAAAAAAAGCTCACTCTGCTCCAAAGAAAGAAAAGCCAACCGAAGAACTACAGGATATCAGGGAAGAATCAAGTTTATCAACAGAATTACATATGATGGTACAGGACAGCAAATGGCTAGAGTTCTGAAGAATTATTTTGAAACAGTCTATACAGCTCAGCACACACATACATTGCTCTCACAGCCTTTGCTCCTTGGGCTTCACTTATTATTGCCTGCAGGTTGGCGGGGGGGGGCGGGGGAAGAAGCCTGGATGCCTATTGCAATGAAGAGTTGAAAATCCGGCAGCTAGAAGGTTATGCAGCTAATGATGCCAGCAACTAGTTATGCTCCTCCATTACACTCATGCTGCTTTGTCAAGCCCTTTGCAGATCTACGCAGTGGTGATAACTTGCAGAGCAGCTGATCAGCAGCAGTTTCCCTCAGGAGATATGGTGAGTGATGGGAGTCTGGGATCAGGTGGAACACGACCAAAGTACTTAGTTCGGGCTCAGAAAACAACACAAAGCAAAGCAGTAGATGCCCTGGGTCAGGTTCTCTGCATGAACAAGCTGATCAAGCACGGATACCAAGACATCCAGGAGTCGCGTGAGGCAGGGCCTCCTTTTACAAAAGCCATGTTGATTCTTCCTGTGTAGACCATATTCATTCAGGGGACTTACAGGCCTGTTGTTTTTTTGACCAGAAGTGTAGTTTCCAGTTCAGAAGATTGAGTACAGTGGTGACAGATCAAGATGTCTAAGAAGGCTGAACAAAGCAGTTTCAACTTCTTATCTAAAAGCTGAGCACACACTACAACAGGACAACATTTAGAGAAGCAATTGCTTGGCATCCTAAAGATTTTTCTAACAGTGCATAAGGAGGCACAACTTTATGTAATGTTTTCATAATATCTCATTTCTTCAAGAAGTCCCTACCTGAGCATGGTCAGGATGTGAATTTGAATCCACGCCTCCAGTATATACACAAGCTTCCCGAGTTCAAGTTCCTCAAGCTACTGGTATGTATAGATAATAGAGAAGAATTTAAAAAGCAATAATAGGAGTTAAAGAAATTGTTAGTCCTTAGTGTGGTGGTCATTTAATCAGCAGCAAGAGAGTCCGAGGTGAAAGGGGACCTCTGAGCCACTATGATTCTAATGGCGAGACTAAGGAGGATTCTTCAGGGAGCAAAGAACACTGACTAAACAAAGCTAAGGAAATAAGGTGTACCAGTTGTTCAAAACTAGTAGAAATCTCAACTATGATGTCTTATCACACACTACATGATGATACAGCTGCTCACAATGTATGAAAGGCACAGGTCTCCAAAATTCTTCTGTTTCAGGAGAAACGGAAAATTATGTACTCTCGTCACAAAGAGATGAACTATTTTTCAGTCCAATACCAATGAAGGCAAAATTGAACAAAATCTAGTTGGAACAAACATTTCAAAATCAGCAGGCACAAAAACCCCATGGCCACGGATATTAAAATTAGCTGATTGAGGAGACTTCATACCTACAGATTTAAATGCTTAAGAAATATTAGGGGACTGGAGAAATATACTAGCCTAGAAGAGTTCTAATGTCTACAAGGACTAAAAAAAAGTGTATTTGTAATAATTTATGCTGCTAAAGTTATACGATTATATGACCTGAGATTCATGCCAGAAAAGAATTATGGAATCGGATCACTATAGACTTAAAAGACACTTTGTACTAATCAATGTTGGTAGGGGGTGGGGGGAGCTATATTGTTTGGGTTTTTTTAATGGAACTTACCAAACAAAAGCTAGATTCACAAAAGCAACTACAAAGATGTAACATACTTCAGTTTTGCAAAGAAGCGAGCTTGATATCTCACAAAAACACACTTAGAGCCTTAGCACTTTGTCTACAGCATAGATGCTAAACGGATTAAAATCAGACCACAAAATCTCAAAAAGAAGAAAAAAAAATATCAGCCCCACTCTTT